AAAAAGAAAAAAAGATAAGACTTAAGATGAAAAAAAGTTTCAAAAGTATATTGTTCATCATATACAAGTTTATGAAAAGATTTTAATTTAACTTAAAGAATTTCATATTATACTTTTGGAAAAAAAATCTACATTTAAAATATATATATATATATATATATATATATATATATATATATATATATATATATTATTGGATATTTATGTATATTTTATAGAAAAAAATTGGATCCAAGCAAAGTTGATGTAATTGGAAAGATGAAGGATACATGACTCTCTTTAATAAAAGTACAATGGTTTTTAGAGGCTAACATATTTTATTATATATAGATTCTTCATTAAGCTCATATAATAGATCCATTTTATGAATTATTATGTAAGGATTGTCGATTTAAATAGAAAAGAAAGCAAATTGAAGTAATGCAAAAACTAAAAGTATTATTATTGACACCTCCAATTTTAAGAAGAATTAATTATGAATGAAATAAATAAGTAATACCTATTGTAGATACTAGTCCAATTGCTATTAGATGGACTATGAGTCAAGTTAACTTAAGTAGAAACAAATTTGCAGTTCAACTTGGAACTAAAATTTTAAGTATTCCTCAATATGCATATTTGCAAGTGAAAAAAAATACTATGAAGAATTTTTTCAACTATAAAAGCTCATAAAGATTATTTGATTAATGTAGTGGTAGTAATTTAAATAGATTGCTTATTATTGCTTAGAATGATTACTAATTATTCAACACTAAATATTACAATATTAAGATGGATTTTTTATATAAAATTGTTAAATTTAGAATTTAGGCATGTTGCTAGAAAGGACAATTTGGTAGCAAAATTTTTGTCTTGAGTGAGATATGAAAGAGAAGATGAGATGGTTAAAGACATTGATAATGTATAATCAAAATTCTATTCAGTATTAAAATTGAGCAAGGAAGACAAGTTATTTTTTGAAGAGTTTTTTGAAGGAGAATTATTAGATATTGATTATTATTTGAGTACCTTGACTAAAGAAAAAAATTGGTCTATGAAAAATTTAAACAAATAAGAAAAAAACATATGAATTTTTACTTCACAAAGGAATTTTATAGAAGAGACCAAAGAAAAGAATTGAAATGCCACAATAAGTGATAGAAAATAAAGAAGAACAACAAAAACTATTAAAAGGATTTCACAATAGTTTATAGATAGGCCATAGGAGAATTTGGAGTAATTTTGCTAAACTCAAAGAACAATATTTGTTAAAAAATATGTATTGAGATATATTTTTATTTGTAAAATAATGAAAAACTTGTCAAGTATATTCTAATGTATGACATTGAAATGGTCTACATCTCATATTTCCTATGGCTATTTATTTTAAATAAATTATTGATTTAATTATAATACTAATTAGATTATGACAAATGAGATATTTGATCTTGGGTTGTAAAAATTTATCAAACTAAGTAGAAAGTAGAACATTGAAATTTTTTTTGAATTTTTCATTTGTGTAAAAATGTAAAAATATCCAAATGTATAAGAAATTATCATTATTGAGACATTTGGATATTTTGTGAATTTTTTATTATATTTTTCTTAAATTTGTTTCATAACTTTGATGTCAATCAATAGTTAGATCAAAGTAAATGAGATTTTTATTGGATTGGAATCTTAAATATTTAAAATTTAAGATCAATGAATATTATTGAAATCCTAAAAAATATATTAGTTCAATTGAAGTAAAATTTTGTGAGATCAATTTAGACTTAATTATCTATACATTGGCCAATTTGTAGAGTAATTTATAAAGCTTACAAATAAAAGCTTCTATTTTCAAAGTTTCATCCAAAAATTCCAACAAGAGAGAAATCTTCAAAAAACCCTAACACATCCAAACTGCCCCTTTTTTTTTAATAATTTGTCCTTCTTTTCTTGAAAATCTGGCCTTCTCCCACCTTATCACTTCTATATCTCCTTTGCTTAAGGAAGTCAACTCTCGATCTCCAACCAATCCTAATACCAATCTTAAATTACAATAAAACTAAGTATGTATTCTAAAAGACAATATCCTTTAAGCTTGAACAACCTATTTATACCAAAAATTATCTACTTTAAATCCCATTCAAATTTATAAATATATTAGCATAATATTCCACCTTTCTATAAATAAATTAATTATCCTTCAAATAATTTTGATGAATTTAAATTAAATAGATCAAGACAAGAATGTCAACTTAAGAGATTTTTCTACCTAGGTATTTAAACCCTAGTTGACTTTATTGTGTAGTAACACAACCATTAAGTGAAAGAAGAAACAAAAGATTATATTATAGAAGAACTTCAATGAAAATATTTTAGCAAATTAACTTAGAAATATATAATAGACAAGGAAGTAATAAAAATTAACAAGTGATAATGTTGCCTTCTTGTGTAAGAGACTTCTACTTACTTTGTAAGAGCATAAATGAACCAAATTAAAATAGATGACATAATTAATTGATATAGACATCTTCAGGAGAAAATTAAGAATAGATAATGCCATTGATTCTCAATAGTGTCAGTCTCATCAATTAAGGCAGTGGACATTGTTGAAGGTTGATATAAAGAAAGAACTGAAATTGATGACGGTGAGCTTGACGAGCATCCCTGAGCACACGTTGTATGCTTGAAAGAATTGTGACCTGTACAATGTAGTGGCGCTTGCAAGCTCATGCAGACAGAAAGATATGTAGGAAAAGATTTCGAGAATTTTTTCCGTTCATTGAAACTTGAACCTGCCACTTACCACAAATGTGGTCGGCATCAGATGAACACGAAGATAAATGATAAGCTGAATGTTTCTGGTCCCATCCATCTGTGTGCATATCTGCTCTACTTCACGGAATGGTATTCCAAGCGCACAAATCTCAAACACAACTCCTGCTTGCCACACAGAAATGTTTGATGGAATTCAATTCTGTTCACGAAGAGGAGTGCATGTGCATTGGCCTTTTTCATCTTCTGAGGCGTTGACCCTCGAGTTGAGCATTCCTGAATAATAACAATACGGCTGTGCTGGACATTTGCAAGGCAGGTAATACATGGATAACATGTATCGCACATGAATCTGAATGTTCAAGGTGCATAGATAGAATGATTTATCAACAATCCATTGATGATGATTCAAGTTATTCCGCCCAGCGTTTCACATCCAAGCCACTCTCAAGGCATGCATGGGCACGTACAAATTGTTAAAGTTTGACACATTTACACACTCGATAAACAATCAATCGCAACGCAGGGAGTGACTACAAATTGAATCGTTGCATGAGCACATGATTTGCTTCACAGGAACTGTCTTCGAATACAGGTGAGGTCAAGAGCTGCATTCTATGATTACAGTATCATTTTTTCTCAGTAGAGAGTTTACTTTCTAATCTGTTCACTTGTATATGTACCAGCTAGTTCTGATTTACATTCGTATGTAGTAAGTTGAAAGAGCACATTCATTCAACACAAATGCCATGCAACCACTCTTAATCTGCACCATGTAATCACAAGCGCCCGACATCACACAAGTCTTGGAAGAAGATGTGGGTGCGAGTGCTGCTTTCAGGGACAGCGTTCGCTGAAGCTCTCACGTCTTCTGTGCGCTTTGGGCTGATATAGTCTATAATTTAGTATTTTATGACTTCTTGTTCAGTCGTATAGTTGATCAATCCTTGTAACAGATTGCTGCGGTATATCAAAAAAGGCTATATGGTTCCCTCCCTTAATGGGGTTAATATTAGCAGTTCTACCATGTTGAGGTCGTTGACAAGCGCGAACCGGGCCTAAAACGAGTTTACAGTCTTCACACTCAAACCCTGAACTGGCTGTGCAGGATGATATGGAATGCAGTTCTAACCCAACTTCAGATATATGTACATAAGCTATCCACAGTTTAATGACGGCCGAAAAGACATATCCCAGTCTCCAATGTGCCACTAGCTTATAGTTCCCATCATAGAGTCAACCCAGTCCGGAACTTTGAAAGCTAATAGAAGAGTTATGCAGCTTCTGTAGGGTACGGAGTATTTGTCCATAAAGTTTACTTCAAAGTTTTGACGAGCTTTTACCAACACGAGAAATTCCGATCGCACAAATAGTCTGTCCAAAATGGGTATGATCATTTCACAACCACGACAACCCTCCCACAGTGAAACATCCCTAGGCGAGCAGATCGGCAGGAGCCGGCACCCGCAGCCATTGTGACAATTTCCTATACCAATTCAACCACTCATCCACTCACAAATCCCTGGGAAACGCAGTTATAACCATCACAATGCACAAATACCGTCTTGGATCGCAAGTGTCGACCAATTGGCAGAGTACATTACAACGAGTGAAGCAGTCTGATGAAATATTCATCCATCACCATCCATTCCGTCGACAGTCAGTACGATGAAGGAACAAAACTTCATTTTGATGCACTCCAGTGTACCACTGGTCTGAAATCCGCGGACTGAACGATAGCCGTAAGGCGAGAGACAAGAAGGTTGTTAGGAAACGAAAACCAGGTGACAAGTGGTGATGATGCAGACCTTTGGACCTCCTTCATCTACTGCAACCTTGTGTGAAAGTGTAATGACTGATAATTATCAGCTCCACTTGATTCCAGTGTTCAAGGACTGTGACATTCGCTCTGTTCTACAGCCTCTGACGCTGTTTATTTGCCTACGTTTGGCAGATAAACTTGGCTTTTGATAGAATGTGAAGAGGTAACGCGCACTGTTGACTAAACTACTCTCCATTGCCACTTCCGGTGATGATAAGGTCAAGTTGAATCAGGTGATTGATGCTTGCGTCTCGTAGAAGAGTGCTTCTTGTTGCAATCAGCGACAAGATTTGGACAGAACCAGTTGGTGGCTGGGTTATTCAGAATACGAGGGATGGCCAGTTGCAGAATCTTGGAGGCAACGTTACAAAGAACTTGTGTTCTTCCACATTGAATATTGTCCACTGCTTTGAAACATATGGGATAGTTACCAGCATAATGGCAATCACTGAATGGTACTTCGTCTTCTTAATATAATTCAAATTCAGGTACTTTGTTGGGTCGTGATTGTGTACAATGTCGTAATCATGTAAAGCCGAATCGTGCTTCCAGCTATATTTGAACATACTATTGCACTGAAACTATCTTCGTGCATATTGCCATTGAGTGTCCTAGTCTACATCTTCAATTTCGAATGTAGCGCTCGAGCATTTAATTTTTTCCTGTTTGCCCTGAACAACCGACGACAAAAAATCAGTAAGAAATGTAACCACCACCACCATAACGTTTGATTGGAGACCATATATGATATAGAAAATTTAGCTTCACAGCAAGATGCACTGATCATAATGGAGTACCAAGAAAAATAGGTCTGAAATCGGACATGTAAGAACAAAAAGTAACAATGTATTGCTCAGTAGTTGACAGAATGGATTTACCTAGTTGCACTGGCTTGGGACAAAGCCGACTTGGTTGTGCAGATTGTCGTAGATTACGCGGAAGCCCTGTTGCTGGATGTTGCCAATGATGGAGGGACCCGTGGTACCGGCAAACGCCAAACAGAAGGTGTTGGAGTTGTCGACCGGAATGAGATAATTTGAGGCCGGGAGTTTTAGATCAGTACCGCCTTGAAAATGCAGCGTGACGGTTGGGACGTCTACAGAGGCCAACCCAGAGAGGTCGTAGCATGTGTCGAAAAGGGAGAATCCAGCAGTTGGTGCCAAGTCCGAAGTGCCAGCACGGAAGGCGTCACGAAGAGAAGCATATGCGGCATTTTGTAGACGAGTGACGGAGGTGCCAGAATCTATGATGACACCTCCATTGCCAAGTGAGTCGAGTTGAAAGGCGCTTGTGGGGATGGTGAGGATGGTGCCCCCGACACTGATTCCCGTCATCTTGAGGTAGTAGAAGGTAGGTACTCGCATGTTGCTATCTTGGGGTGTGAACCTTGCACCTGCAGGTGGAACCGCTGCTTCACCAAAGACCAGAGAAGATCCTTCGGTTGAGTCAGTTTCTCGATCTGTGAGACAATAGGAAAATCTGCCGCCGTTCTGAGGATCAACTTGGTTAGGAAATGACAATGGCCCTTTACCCAGACCCAGAAGACCTGCAGCCCCTACGAAGTACCCTTCATTGTCGTGTCCACAACCCAGGGGAATCTTGTTCAACACAACTTGACCTACTCCTGACGTCGAGTTCAAAGAAACATCATCAGTACCAAATTCTCCCGTGGTGAAGGAACCATCCCCATAGTCCACCTGCAATGCCAAGAATATTGAAGATTAATGTTTACAACTGAACTCAGAAATTCAAGCTTACTTCACAATACCAGACTTCGAAGACTGGATTGATGGCTATGCGCAACTTCAAAAAGCAGAAGTTTCATATGGACAATGCAACAATGTCAGTTTCAACAATCATCCATGGGGCAGCAGCGACCAGAATCTCCTTGAACCACTACTGTCTTTACTCAAATTCCTTGTTTCTCAACTTTATATGGGCACCAAAACTTCCAGAAAGTCGTGAAGCTGAACTAACCTGGTAGAGACATTTATTCGCTTGGCATGTGCCGATGTCCAAGTTCAAGCATTGCCTGGTACTGCACCCAAGAGTAGAGTACGTGGATGACTTGTATGGGTCGAATATAGCATCACTTTGATGGTAACAATTCACACATGGAGCACATTGGAGCCACAGAATATCACTTCCAGTGTCCATGACAAGGTACATCCTTCTAGGAGGTGTGCCCACAGAAATGCGAATAAAGTACTCTCCACTACCCAAGCTCAAGCCTGAAACGACTGGTGCCTGAAAGTCTTGTGATGGAACCTTCGTCTGTCGATCACGACTGCGACTTCTTGTTAATCCATTCACAGTTTGATTGATACGGCCGTGTATGGAAGCAACACGCAGGTTGTCTCTTGAAATGGTCACATGCATGCGCTCCACGCGAGTTCTGTTGCTCAATCGGAATGGTGATGAAGGGGCATCCCTGCATATCAAGTGAATCTTTTAGTCATTGTGTACAACAACCGGCAACCCATACTCACTGCACTCAGCGTGGTGTATCACTTACTCAGATTTCATATGAAGGCCTTAAATCGAAAATTGTGTATTCACAAGGTTGCCTGTCTGACCGTGATCATAATCGATTTACTTGAGACGTAGCCAGCAATAATGTTTAGTTGTACAATGTCAAGCTCTGTCTCTCTTCTCATGTGTATTTGGATTAACATAAATTTTGGAATCTCCAAAACCAAAGATGAATCAAAGTTTCGGTTAACATTCGCAGTTGCAAAAAGAGCCTGGTAAATTGAAATTAACCTTGATCAGACTTCGGCTTCCTATGTCCACTGTTTCTGCTCATCTTAATTACTACTTGTTCAAGAAAATTAATACTCAACTACAATATGAGGAATTAACTGCGAGAAATCCAAAGTAACGATGGTGCAAATGGCTGGATTATCACCTGTGCATGATGTGTGCATGTAGCGCACCGGCCCCAGTTGCGAGATCCTCCCTGATGGTGGAAAATGTGTCGGCCATGGGTTTCATTTGGTGTCGCTCGGTACCTCGTGGTGCAGATCGTTTTCCAAATTCTAGTTGAAGCGTGTTTCGCTCTATATTCTCTGAAAATAAACCGGGCTGTTGCAATTCTCTAGCTGCTACGTTCACAACCAGAAGTACCAGGACTAGCGGGAGCTGAGTGACACCGCCCAGACACTTCCATGTGGAACGTATTCTCGTCATCTTGTACAATGTTCTCAATCCTGAAATCACGCCACGACGGAACGCTCACTGCACGAAACATCTTGCTATGTTAAATGTGCAGAATGAGCTGAAGAGAAAATTTTCGAGATATCTACTCAGCTTTGACTCGAGTTGCAAGCTTTAAGTAAGCTACACCAGCATTTCGCAAATACTCCTTGGACCACATCTCAGCCATGAACCCTCTTCAACTCTAAATTGGCTCATCCTGCACTTAGAATTCTAAATGGCGACGTGCAACACTACGAAAGATGCAATTTTCTACGCACTCACTGATCCGACCTGCTTGATTCAGATGATAATTCACTGATGTAACCGCGACCTACGTTTTCTTGAAAACTTCGATAATCTTTGACGTCAACTGTCCGGGTTGTGACCCACTGCATCACACAAGTCTGATTCAAACCCTCTAAAGTCGCCCCGCTTCACCTCCTGGAAATGGAAGATGAGCACCAAATGCAAAGGCTTCAGATCATTCCTCGAAATTTCAAAGAAAAATGAATCAGTCGTCGACAGAATAATGTGCTGGCTATGGTGGCGATTCTGTTCACCATCGAAATACTTACGAGCGTGATTTCAACGCCCTACGGTGGTCAGCTATTTAGTCCATAAGGACTGTTCACAATGATTGAGATCACCACAAATGGTAACATACTTCGCCAGCCAGTGCTCTCTGTGGGTCTCTCTCCACGCCCAAGCAGGCACCAGAGGTGCATACTAAGAGCAGGTTAGAGGTAGATGCCTTGCTCGGGTAACCAAGAACAGCTGAGGACTGTCTTTCTTCCACGTGAAACCATGTTCCTCAACCGTTTTCCTGCAACATTCCCGTACAAAGATCGTCATTCTGCAGAACTGAACGCTACGGGCCCTGAAGACCCAACTGCCTGCAAGACTGCATTCTGCCAATCTTGTTGCCGCAGACGCAACATCCTAAGGTAAGATGGTCTCTATGATTAACTCATAAGTCATACACTACGCCCGTTTCACTCTCATCACAACCTGACAAACTCTTCTCCGACTACCACCCGTGAGGCCAGCGGTGGACCACCGCCATGGTCGCATTCGCTCAGAGTAGGATCATAATACCCGAACAGAAAACAGCAGATCAGTCATTTCATCTCTATCACGCATGCTCCAAACTCTACCCGATCGCTACTCAAACACTCTGACAAGATCTCCACACCCACCTCCCTCCACCCATAAGCACAAAAATAAAAACAAATAAAAATAAGCTTCCACCACAACTACCTTCTGGGTGCCATAACATGGAACCTCCCTCCCACTACGCTCGCATCGACAAACCTGCAGCACTGACCAACTCGACTTGCTGCTACTCTCCACCTGCTTCTACGAAAGCCTCATACGTCAATAGCCAGCATCTGGTATCTTAACCTACCACTCCGCATCATTCCTCACTTTTTCATGGGTACGCCACTGCATGAGCCGCAATCTCCTTTACCAGCAACGAGACGGCCATGGCTTCGATCACCCAGCTTTGACCATCACAAACCGGCACCGCTTGGTGTCAGCCCCCAGCCGCACTGAACTGACTGCCCCAGAGCGGCCGCATGCAATTGCATATCATGATACGAAGGTAAACTCAGAGATATGGTATGAAGTCCAGCATTAAAAACCAAAGGCGAGATGGTGAGGCCAGCTAGATAACTGGATGGGACCGCAAGACCAACACACAAAACGAAGACCCTTGCCAGAGGGACGAGATGATGAAGCGCATTGAATGCATGCCAGGTCGCATACCTTATGTACCCAGCTACCAACCCCCAGATACTCTCTCCTTCTGCCGCCCTCTCGCCTTACCCCATCCGTCTCCCTCCACACTGTCTCCACTAGAGAGAGAAAGAGAGAGTGAGAGATATTTTTCCCGGGTGTGAACTTCTGACCCACCCGTAAGGACGCATGCGCTAATTTCAGACCAAAGAGATGCATCACTCTGACTCCAAGTAGAAAAGCCGCTCTGATGAACGCCGACGGGGTTGGTGGATGGGTGAAGACACAGTGTACGCAATGTACTGAGTCCAGCAGGGAGGAGGCAGCAGTGGCAGCAGCAGTGGTGGAGTCAGTAAGGCGCGATGCGACGCCCGTCACGAAACCCTCGTCGCCACCCACCACATCCACCCATCCATTTGGGGGTCCTGTCCCCTCGGGACCCATTTTACCCGGTGGAACCCCCCCCCCCCCCCCCCCCCCCCCGTCCCTCCCTGA